TCAATGGCTCCCCAATATCTGTGGCCTTTGTCTTCAAACTTCAGTGAGCATATGAGCCACTCAACTGGGAAGCCTATTAAAATTAAAATCAAAATTCCCAGGCCCCATTCCCAGTCTGATTCAGCAGGTGTCTTCTTTATTTTACACACTGAAAAACACCAACTCAAATTTTTCAGCTAAACTTGCCAGGCCCTCATAAACTTTCAATCAGTATCTCTGCCCACACCTCTACTTGTGCCTTGTGCTCTAGCTCAGGAGTCAGCCAACTACAGCTCTGCTGGAAGCCAAAACCAGCCTGTTGCTTGTTCTGATAAATAAAGTTTTATTGAAACAGCCACACCCATTCATTACATTCTGACTGCGGTTGCCTTTGTGCTACAATGGCAGAGTTGAGTAATTGAGACAGAGATCACATGGTCAGTGAATACTTACTATCTGAACTTTTGCAGAAAATTTGCCAATTCCTGCTCCAGCTGGTACCAAAATACGTATCTGCCAATGCAGTATGCTTTAGTACAGGATATTCCTTCCCTCTTCCCCATTTTCTGGGGGACTCCTATTCTTCCTTATGAATCCTTATACAGATTCATTCCTACTGTTCAAACCCATGTCTGACATACCCAGACAGTCAGGTGTCCATTCTAGTGCCCCTCAAACCACTTTGCCTCTATTGCCCTCATTTCTTACCTCACTATACTGTAATAATTTTTCTATGTGTCTGCCTAGCCCACTGAAATGTAAGCTCCTAAGAATACTTATAAAATCTTATTGATCTTTGTATCTCTACTGTCTAGCACAATGCCTGGTACATATTAGATGCCCAACAAATGTCTGATGAATGAATGAATAAACTTTTCTGCAAAGAGCAAAACATTATTTAAACTTCAATTTTAATTGATTGTGTAGTATTAAAATTTGCCCCTTTGGGTTAAACTATCTGTAAAGGCACCCAAGTTAAAATGCACATGTAACCTGGATAGGAAAGGAAGGCACATTAAAACATTAATATCTACTGACAGACATTTATTTACTAGATGAGCTGGATCTCAGGCCCTAGTCTTGTGGAAAGTAGTGGTAAAGCAGAAGGACAGAAAAAGCAGACAATGCCTGGGCTTCAGGTGCTGCCAAAGAGGGCAGCTCCACCTGCAGCAAAGGATGGCTAAAGGGCCAACAGGAGCAACGTCAGGGGCCAAAGGACAGGTCTGGGAACATCAGAGAGATTTTTTTGACCAACTTAAAATTTTTGTGAGAGCAGCCACTACTCAGAACAAGTGACTAGAAGATAAGAACTGGTTGTCTTACCTAGGGAAGGTGTAAGAAACCTCATTTTCAGATAACCATGTGTCATATGGGTGACAGGGAAGTATGGAAGAGAACAGCTGCCTGTATTAATATATAGTGACCAGCAGCTGGCCCAGTCTCTCATCAGCCCCTCAGCTGGAACCTGATGCCCTGCCAGACTGGGTAATAATGTACAGTGGTCTTTTACCAGCTCAGAGTCTGCAGCAGGAACACATCCGGTCTAGGATATTTCAATTTATTTGTTCATTTATTCAATAAACATAAAATTCAAATATAAAATAAGAACCTTCTGTCTATGATTGAAGCCTCTGAAAAAGTCACGATTTTCTTTGTAACTGAATGCAACAGGTAAGGGAGAAAAGGCTTTCATAAGAACAAGCACTTTTTCCTAGAGGTGGACATGTAGGTAGGCTCGGGAAACTACCTTTCTCACATAACCTAATGGTTTGGGGCCCAGCTTAAGTTCATTTCATGTCTCATCGCACTTCCCCTGTCCCATTTGGGGGCACAGGTAGGAGCAGAGGGTAGTAGGGTAGACATAAACAGAACCATAAATGTTATGTGCGACAGTACACACTTAAGAATTACTAAAATGTGCATGTCAGGTGCCTCCTACACTGTGCAAAGGACCAAGGAAGTCACTGCTAGGAATAGTAACATTTTTGAGTGCCTACTATGTGTTAGACTCTATACTTGATGCAGTATCTCCAATCCTCAACAAAGCCTGTGAAGAAGGTACTAACCTCTTAACAAATAGGATGGAAGGCCAGAGAGGTTAAATAATTTAGCCAAGATTTGTTCCTTCCCAACTAACCGAGTGGAGATCTACTCAGTATTTGAACTCTGGTACTTAGCCCTTTCCCAAGAATGCACTTTTAGATATCCAACATAGTTCTTGCTCACCTCCAATTTGCTATTATCTGTATACTCTGTATATATCTGTATACTCTGGCTGGTTGGCTCAAAGAAGCACAAAGATTAATAAAGCCCAGGTACATCAGGGCTTTGTCCATAACAACATTTTGTTCCAATTCAATTCAATCACTATTAACAATTTAGCACTCTATGCTGTACCAGGCACAATCCTACACACTTAGGAAGCAAATCTGCACTCACATTCAAATCTGTCCTGCTCTTATTCCAGGAAGCTAGATGGCAGAATGTGGAGAGCCTTTGGCAAACCCGTTCACTGCCACTGATGAAAACAATTCAGGATACGGAATCTTTATAAAGGGTGGTCCTCACATTATCATCTGTTTTTTGACCTGCTCCTTCAAATACTGCCTCTCCTCTATCATTGCTGCTCCTGCTCACCTCCTGCTCTTCCTGCTGCCCTGGCCTCACTGTCGCTGTCAGTTTGTCATCCGTTGTGCTCTCACCAGTACAGCTGCTGTGCTTCCAAGCCTCAACCCTTACCTTCCTTTATACAGAAGAAACTGGAACTCGAGACTCCACCACCCATATATAATGTGGGGGAGAAGTGTGTTTGTGTGTGAGTATGTATGTATGTACTACAACAGGGGTGTCAAACTCATTTTCACCAGGGGCCACATCAGCCTCGCAGTTGCCCTCAAAGGGCCGAATGTAATTTCAACTCCTTAAGTTAAGGAGTAGTTACATCTATACAGTCCTAAAATTATTTCGGCCCTTTGAAGGCAACTGCAAGGCTGATGTGGCCCCGGGTGAAAATGAGTTTGACATCCCTGTACTAGAAGGACAATACAATTTTGTAGGACTCTTAACAACGGAGCACAGAAAAAGGCAGGACCGGGAGCTGCCAAAGCCTCATTTAAGGGCTGTTTCACACTACCTGGCTGCTGAAAGCAGTCCAGTCCTGCTGTGCCTGGCATTTAGATATAACTCACCCAAAACTACGCCAGGGAGACAAGGTGAAAGTAGTGCATTCACAGAGGCACTATTCACCCACACACATCTACAGTGGACTTGGTTTTCCACAATTATTATGGATTTAAGAAACTCGTGGAATCTAAAATCTTTCATAAAACAAAGATTCAATGAAAAATGAAACTGAATTTATTTTGCATACCTGTGGACCCTATAGGAAGTAAGTTATGAACAGTCTATCCCCCAAATTTAACTTCACCCTATTAGGCAAAACAATAAAATTTTGTCCCCCCAATACAGTTTGCTAATGTTAGAAATAACTGCTATGTGATTTTATAGGTAAGTAAAATAACCCCAAAACTTATGTATTATTCTTGGACTTACTTGAATTATTGAAGACCTTCTGAAAGTTATTAAGTATTTCAAAGATGTGAAAAGGAAACAACTGAAAATTATGTAGAATATTCTGTGAGAGTCACAAATCAAGAAAATGAAAAAAAACCTGTTTTTTTTGGCATTCTTAAACAGCAATAATATTATTTTCTGGGTAAGATAAAAGATATAGTATGCAGATTTAATCTCAAAATTAACACTGAAAGATCAAGCTGGCAAAGACTTTTTCAAAGTTATTTTCTGATTTTTCTGGAAAATATTCAGGGCTCCCCATTTCTGTCTTAGAAATACCACTTCCTATCAGGAGGGGTTTGCTACTTCACAAGTGGGCTGTTTCTCTAGTGAGGCACCATTCCAGAGCACTGCATGGGGCTTTCCCTTCTACCACTGTTCTCAGAGTCTTCTGCGGGATCAGGAAGAGGAGATAATGTAGAATGACACAGACAGTAGAGAGAAGCTCTAAATCTTTTCAATCTCTCTGATGATGGGCAAAACAAAAACTTAACAGCAGCAAAGTGTGATGGTTACCTGGACGGGGAAAGGGCACACAAACAAACAAACAAACAAACAAACAAAAAAGCTATCTCCAGCAGCATGCCAAAGACTGTGGAAAGTAAAACCTCTAGATAGCATAGAGAAGGAGCAATTTCCACTTCAAAAGTTGGCAAATGCTTGAAGTCTGATGATCAATAAACTGACCGTCCCTATCTTCACGAAGTAAAGGTAAACACTAATGAGGCTAGACATAAAGAAATAGGTTGTACAAAATGAATTAAACAATGAACATTGCCTGCTACCTTATAATCACAGGGATAAGTGATTTAAAGGGGGTGGTGATAGATCATTAAGGTAGATTATCAAGAAAGAATTCACTACTTTTTTTAGAGAAGTCTTTCCAGAGGAGGTTAGATTCCAGACTTTGGACGAATAGCAACAGGAGCTTAGCAGAGTGTTCCAACCAACCACAGGAAAATAGTTCAGAGGGGGAGTGAACTGATTATATGAATGGGGCATTGAGTAAGGGAACAGGAGAGAAGAAAGGGGAATAGTCAAGGGAAATAGGGCTCGTTCACGGTGTCCTAGTTAAGGTCACCAAACTACAGAAAGGCTGGGAGGGGCGTGGGGGAGGGCAAAAAGGAAAAGCAAAGTAATTTCTTCACTTATCTCGGCAGGCAAGTCAAGAACTAGGGTTTGCACTTCCTGGAAAAGCTGACACACAGACTTGTCTTGGGAGTGAAAATTTCCCAGGGTAGAGGGCCCTTTCTGGAACAACGCAGCCCGCTGTTCCCTGGATTCCTGGCTAGGTGCCCTGGGGTAATAAGTGAAGGCGCGGGGATGTCTAAGGCAGGTGTTTCCTGGGTGTCCGCGTGGACTACAGTACTGAGGCTCAGCGGCGGGACCAGCACTTAGGCGACAAGCAGGCGGCGGCAGCAGCTGCGCGTGCAAACCACAGGACTTACCTTACTGTCATCCATCGCGGCAGACAGGCCAGCCTGGCCAGGCGCTCCCTCCCCCAGCCCTCCCCGGCTCCGCCGGCCTGGCCCGGCCCGGCCCCCGCCCCGGGGGAAGAAGGGGATATGGTTCTGACTGCCTCCTCCTCTCGCCTAACAGTTCGCTTCCCTGATGCCACAGTCACGGGGACGAGGGACCAGTTCAGGAATGGCAGAACGGACCCTGGAGGCGGCCCAAAACGCCTCCCTTCCGCGCCACCGCCCCCTCCTCCCCCTCCATGACAGTCCGGGTGTGTTTACAGACGCCGCGGAGAGCAGCGGGGAGGGGAGGGTGGGCGGGACTGCTGCACGAGGAATGGCTCCGTCGGCTGCCGTAGCACCGCTGTCTTCTGGGGATTGTAGTTTACCTTACCGTAATCTGTACGGGGCTGACTGGAAGAAAAACTACAATGTCCACAGAGCCTCAGCCTAGCGTCTGTTTTCCTCCTGCCCCAAGTGCTGCGGAGGCGGGACCATGACGGAAGCCAAGACTACGCTTCCCACAGTTCTCCCCCTTGGAGGTTTTGGCCCGTGGGTTCCAACGGCTTGGGCACTGGGAGGTGGGAGTTTGGGGCCCCCGCGGAGGCAACCCTGAGGTGAGGGCCCTGAGAGCAGGCCTTCCTCCGGGACACCGCGGATACCCTGAAAAGGTGCAACCGCTTGGGGAAACAAATTGGCGGTTCCTCCCGATGTTAGAGTTACCATATGGCCAATATTTCCACGAGAATATGTCCACATGGAAACTTTCACAAGACGGTTCTGTCCTAGAAGCTTTATTCATAATAGAAAGTAGAAACAACCTAAATGTCCATTAGTGGATGGATATCACATGATGAATAGGCTAATTGAGGTATATTTTTAGGGCTATTAGACCATAAAAAGGAACGAAATACTGATCCATGCTACAGTGTGGCTAAGCCTGGAAAACATGCTAAATGAAAGAAGCCAGACAGGAAAGGACATATTGTATGTTCCATTTATAAAGAAATGTCCAGAATAGGTAAGTTTAAAGAAAAAGTTGATGAGTGGTTGGCAGGGCAAGGGCTGGGGAAACAACAGGGAGGGGAGCTGGGAATGGGGAGTGATTGTTAATGGGTGTACTGGGTTTCTTTTTGAGGTGATGAAATGTTCTCACATTGATTTGGTGTTAGCTGCACAGCTCTGTGAATATACTAAAACCCACTTAATTGTACATTTTAAATGAGTAAATTTTATGGTATGTGAATTATGTCTCAATGAAGCTGTTAAAGAAATAACTGAGTGTTGCTGGGGCTGGTGTGGTTCAGTGGATTGAGCACTGGCCTCCAAACCAGAGAGTGGCCAGTTCAATTCCCAGTCAGGGCCCAGGCGTGGGTTGTGGGCCGGGGTCTCCAGTGGGTGAGAGAGACATACACTGATGATGTCTGTCTCCCTCTCCTTCTGCCTTCCTTTCCCTAAAAATAAATCAATAAAAGTCTTTCAAAAATAACTTAGTGTGTTTGTGTAGTCCTGATTTAATCAAGTTAGTGAGCTTGTTGTTGCAGCCTGTCAGGCCATTGAGAACTTGGCAAAGGTTGTGTGCTATTTGATGTTATTCTGGAGAGCCCTGTGGCACCTTTCAGACACTTTCAAAACTCAGTCAAGGTACAGTTCCCAGATTCAGCAATAAGTGCACAAGACACATGCAATATTTGAGACACACTTATTTTTTTAAAAGTATTCATTTCTTATCTGAAAATGAAAATTAACTGGGTGTCTTTTATTTACATCTGGCAACTCCATACTGAGGAGGAGTATATAGGCAAGTTGAATCGTTTCTGTCTGATCTATATAAGCCTTCAGAGCACAGGTGGCAAATACAAGGCCCACGGGCCAAATCCAGCCCTCCACCTTGTTTCTACCCAGTGGCAGTGCCGAGCTCTCGCTTAACTGTATGGAGTAGTTACAGTTATACAGTCCTCAAATTACATTCAGCCCTTTGAAGGCACCCACGAGGCTGATGTGGCCTCTGGTGAAAATGAGTTTGACACCCCTGCTTCATAGGCACTATAAAGAATGTCACTCCTTCCAAATAAAATGGAGCTTAGGACTTCTGGTCAAGATGGCAGCACAGGCTGACATGGCCTGCCTCTTCACACAACCACATCAAAATTACAAGTAAAATATAGATGAACTATCCTTTAGGCATATCTGAAATTGAGTTGAATGGAAGTCTGACAACTACCGAAAAGAAGAAACCACATCCATCCAGGCTGGTAGGAGGGGTGCAGACGCAGAATGGGCTGGCCCCATATCCACATGGATAAAAATTTGGGAGAGATGTCTCTGGAGTGAGGACTCCCAGACCCACACTAGGTCCCCTATTCCACGATTCCAGTACCAGGAAGATAAGTCCCCACAATTTCTGGCTACAAAAACAAGCTGGTATTGAGTTGGAGGAGGCTGCTAGAGCCCTAAGCAGTTCGTCTTGGGGAGCCACACACCAACTCACTCAGCCTCGCTCCCACTGAACTCCAGTACCAGGGTGGCAGCTTGAAGGGCACCAGTGGTATACAGCAGGAGTGTCAAACTCATTTTCACCAGGGGCCACATCAGCCTCATTGTTGCCTTCAAAAGGCCGAATGTAATTTCAACTCCTTAACAGTTAAGGAGTAGTTACATTTATACAGTCCTAAAATTATTTCAGCCCTTTGAAGGCAACCACAAAGCTGATGTGGCCCTGGGTGAAAATGAGTTTGACACCCCTGGTAAACAGGAAGAGACTGAAGTGTCTGGCATCAAGGTGAACAGAGGCCATTGTTCCTGTGCTGAGTCTTCTCCCCACAGAGCCAGCAGGCTGGTGCCGTATCTGAGACTCCATCAATTTGGCTAAAACTGTGTGACCCACTTTGGAGATTCCCAGAAGCTCTATCCCACCCAACTTACAAGCCCACCCAAGTTGCTTTTCCATAAGAATGGCTGGTCTTATCTCCTAAATCCTATCCAACAAGCAACAGCTGGCTTCAATGAGCTCTAGCAGCAGCCAGATTAGAGTCACAGCTTGGCTTCACCTGGGAATCTCCAAGCCCAGCACACGTAGAGGCCATCTCAGATTGCTTTATAGCTCAGGTAGGGTGCCCCAGGCAAAACACAGGTCAGGGGTGCTGACCTTGGTCTGCATCACCCAGGAAACCCCTGGGCAAGTGCACCCAGTGAACAGCTACAGACCATATGAGAGCACCACCACCCTTCCCCTCCATGGCTGATCCTCCATGGAGGGCGGAGATTGGTGGTCAATGGTAACAGCCAGTCCTTGCAGCTGACTGGCCTGGATAAATCCCTCCCATTGACCTGCCAAAAGCAGCCAAGTCTCAACTATAAAAGGAGGGTATACTCAGCCCACACAGAGGACACACCTTGAGTACCCAGCTTGGGTGATAGGGAAGGCTGTGTCACTGGACCCTACAGGACACCTAGTACATTAAGCCACACTATCAAGACAGGGAGTCAAAGCAGCTCCACCTAATATATAGAAACAAACACAGGGAGGCTGCCAAAATGAGCCAAAGAAACATGGCCCAAGTGTAAGAACAAAGAAAAACTCCAGAAAAAGAACTAAAGCTGTTAAACAAAGTGGAGATGAGCAATCTATCAAGTGCAGAGTTCAGAACATGTTATAAGGATGCTCAAGGAACTTAGTGAGGGGCTCAGCAGCATAAAAAAGACCCAGTCAGAAATGAAGGATACACTAATTGAAATAAAGAACAATTTACAGGGAAACAACAGTAGAATAGATGAAGGTGGGAATCAGATCAGTGACTTGGAACATAAGGAACAAAAAAAAATCAGAAAAACAAGAAGAAAAAAGAATAAAAAACAATGAGGATAGTATAAACAGCCTCTGGGACAACTTTAAGAGGTCAAACATTTGCCTCATAGGGGTGCCAGAAGGAGAAGAGAAAGAGCAAGAAATTGGAAATTTATCTGGAAAAATATCGGAAGAAAACTTCTCTAATTTAGTGAAGAAAATAGACATGCAAGTCCAGGAAGTACAGAGAGTCCCAATTATGATAAATGCAAAGAGGCCCACTCCAAGACACATTATTATTAAAAGGCCAAAGGTTAAAGATAAAGAGAGGCTCTTAAAAGCAAGAGAAAAAAAGTTACCAGAAGGTTGCCAGATTGGTGGGTGAAGGAGGAGAATGGGTGAAGAGGTGAGGGGATTAAGAAATACAAATAGGTAGTTACAGAATAGCCATGGGGATGTAAAGTCCAGTATAGGAAATGGAGTAGCCGAAGAACTTAAACACATGACCCGTGGACATGAACAAGGGAGGGGGGATTGCCTGAGGGAGTAGGGGTGCTGGATGGAGGGGGGCCAAGGGGGAAAATCAGGACAACTATAATAGCATAATCAATAAAATATAATTAAAAAAATAAAATACAGCTTAGGCAAATAACAAGGTTAGTAATGGGTGGCATGCTGGGGTTGTGGCTGTGGCTGTTGGGCCCAGCCAGGCGTGCACCCTTAACCCCTAAAGCGCATACCTGCCTGTCTGAGAATTGCCTAGCCACTTTCTCTCTGAGGATCAAGGGAGCAAAAGTCTGTGCTAATGCAGGCTCTCTTCTGCTTCCCCACCTAATAACCCTTTTGCTCAACACCTGCAAGAGTTCCCTTCCGCCTCCTCCTAGCCTCCTCAGGTACACCCTTGCTGCTGCTAAGCCCTGTCCTTCAGGGTGGAACTGTTTTTCTCCAGAGTTAGTTCTCTGCACTCTTCCTGCATCCCAACTCACAAAAGTGCACCCGGCCCTTCTGTAAGCATGCTTATCCACCCTGCCCTGCTATGGATGGCCATGCGTGGCTGTGTGTGAGCAGCTCACTGACCCAATTAACAGCCACTCTGGAAGGAGCACTAAGATTGTTTGAACATGTAGTGGAAATTTAAAATCTTGCAGGGGAAGTATGTACCCCAGCTTCAGAAGAGTGGTCTTCTGAAGGGAGGGGACTGGGATGAAGAGGGTCTTGGGTGGTTTGGCTGTGAATTTAACTTTTAAAGAGATGGAGCAAATATGTTAAATCTGGTGGTGGAATGCATGTTATATTGTTCTGCATATTTCCGTGCCTTTTTTAAAAATCCTCACCTGAGGATATGTTTTTATTGATTTTACAGAGAGAGAAAGGGGAACAGAGAAGAGAAACAGCAATGTGGGATAGAAACATGGATTGGTTGCCTCCCATACACGCCTGGCCAGGGATCAAACCTGCAACCTAGGTATGTGCCCTGACCGGGAATCAAACACACAAC